CCTCAGTGTGAGGAACCTTGTCCTCTGCGTGAGGAAACTTGTCCTCTGCGTGAGGAACCTTGTCCTCCGCGTGACCAACCTTGTCCTCACCGTCAGGAACCTTGTCCTCAGCGTGAGGAACCTTTTTCTCAACTTGAGGGACCTTGTCCTCTGCGTGAGGACATTGTTCTCAGCGTGAGGAAGCTTGTCCACAGCGGGGGCAACCTTGTCCTCAGCGTGAGGAGCCTTGTCCTCACTGTGAGGTACCTTGTCATCATCGTGAGAAACCTTGTCCTCAGCTTGAAGAACCTTGTCCTTAGTGTGACGTACCTTGTCCTCAGCGTGAGGCACCTTGTCCTCTACGTGAGGAACCTTGTCCTCAGCGTGACGAACCTTGTCCTCAGCGTGATGAATCTTGTGCTCAGGGTGAGGAACATTGTCGCCAGCGTGAGGAACCTTGTCCTCAGTGTGAGGTAACTTGTTCTCAACGTGAGGATCCTGGTCCTCGGCGTGAGGATCCTGGTCCTCGGCGTGACGAACCTTGTCGTCAGCGTGAGAAACCTTGTCCTCACCGTGAGGAACCTTGTCCTCTGCGTGAAGAACATTGTTGTCAGTGTGATGTACCTTGTCGTCAGTGTGAGGTACTTGGTCTTCAGCTTGAGGAACCTTGTCCTCAGCGTAAGGAACTTTGTCCTCAGAGTGAGAACCTTGTCCTGAGTGTGAGGTACCTTGTCCTCAGCGTGAGGAACCTTGTCCTCAGTGTGAGGTACCCTGTCCTCAGTGTGAGGTACCTTGTCCTCTGCTCGATTAACCTTGTGCTCAGCGTGAGCAACCTTGTCCTAAGTGTGACGTACCTTGTCCACAGTGTGAGGTACCCAGTACTCAGCGTGAGGAACCTTGTCCTCAGCGTGAGGAACCTTGTCCTCAGTGTGAGGTACCTTGTCCTCAGCTTGAGGAACCTTGTCCTCAGCGTCAGGAACCTTGTCCTCAGTGTGAAATACCTTGCCCTCCGTGTGAGGTACCTTGTCCTCAGCGTGAGGAACCTTGTCCTCAACGTGAGGTACCTTGTCCTCAGCGTGAGGAACCTTGTCCTCAGCGTGAGTAACCTTGTCCTCAGCGTCAGAAACCTTGTCCTGAGTGTGAGGTACCTTGTCCTCACCTTCTCCTCAGTGTGAGGTACTTTGTCCTCATCTTGAGGAACCTTGTCCTCAGCGTCAGGAATCTTGTCCTCAGTGTGCAATACCTTGCCCTCAGTGTGAGGTACCTTGTCCTCATCGTGAGGAACCTTGTCCTCAGCTTGAGGAACCTTGTTCTCAACGTCAGGACCTTGTCCTCAGCGTGAGGAACCTTGTCGTCAGCGTGAGGAACCTATTACTGGGCGTGAGGATCCCTGTCCTCAGTGGGAGGTACGTTGTCCTCAGTGTGAGGTACCTTTTTCTCAGCTTGAGGAACCTTGTCCTCGTTGTGCGGTACCTTGTCCTCACCGTGAGGAACCTTGTCCTCAGTGTGACGTACCTAGTCCTCAGTGTGAGGTACCTTGTACTCAGCGTGGGGAACCTTGTACACAGCTTGAGGAACCTTGTCGTCAGCATGAGGACCCTTGTCCTCAGTGTGAGGTACCTTGTCCTAAGTGTGAGGTACCTTGTCGTCAGTGTGACGTACCTTGTCCTCAGTGTGAGGTACCTTATCCTCACCGTGAGCAACCTTGTCCACAGTGTGACGTAGCTTGTCCTCAGTGTGAGGTACCTTGTCCTCATTGTGAGGAACCTTGTCCTCAGCTTGAGGAACCTTGTTCTCAGCATCAGGACCTTGTCCTCAGCGTGAGGAACCTTGTCGTCAGCGTGAGGAACTTTGTCCTGGGCGTGAGGATCCCTGTCCTCAGTGGGAGGTACGTTGTCCTCAGTGTGAGGTACCTTTTTCTCAGCTTGAGGAACCTTGTCCGCGTTGTGCGGTACCTTGTCCTCACCGTGAGGAACCTTGTCCTCAGTGTGACGTAGCTAGTCCTCAGTGTGAGGTACCTTGTACTCAGCGTGAGGAACCTGGTCCACAGCTTGAGGAACCTTGTCGTCAGCATGAGGACCCTTGCCCTCAGTGTGAGGTACCTTGTCCTAAGTGTGAGGTACCTTGTCGTCAGTGTGACGTACCTTGTCCTATGTGTGAGGTACCTTATCCTCACCGTGAGCAACCTTGTCCACAGTGTGACGTAGCTTGTCCTCAGTGTGAGGTACCTTGTCCTCATTGTGAGGAACCTTGTCCTCAGCTTGAGGAACCTTGTTCTCAGCGTCAGGACCTTGTCCTCAGCTTGAGGAACCTTGTCGTCAGCGTGAGGAACCTTGTCCTGGGCGTGAGGATCCCTGTCTTCAGTGGGAGGTACGTTGTCCTCAGTGTGAGGTACCTTTTTCTTAGCTTGAGGAACCTTGTCCTCGTTGTGCAGTACCTTGTCCTCACCGTGAGGAACCTTGTCCTCAGTGTGACGTACCTAGACCTCAGTGTGAGGTACCTTGTACTCAGCGTGAGGAACCTGGTCCACAGCTTGAGGAACCTTGTCGTCAGCATGAGGACCCTTGTCCTCAGTGTGAGGTACCTTGTCCTAAGTGTGAGGTACCTTGTCGTCAGTGTGACGTACCTTGTCCTCAGTGTGAGGTACCTTATCCTCACCGCGAGCAACCTTGTCCACAGTGTGACGTACCTTGTCCTCAGTGTGAGGTACCTTGTCCTCATTGTGAGGAACCTTGTCCTCAGCTTGAGGAACCTTGTTCTCAGCGTCAGGACCTTGTTCTCAGCGTGAGGAACCTTGTCCTCAGCGTGACGAACCTTGTCCTGGGCGTGAGGAGCCCTGTCCTCAGTGGGAGGTACCTTGTCCTCAGTGTGAGGTACCTTTTTCTCAGCTTGAGGAACCTTGTCCTCAGTGTGAGGTACCTTGTCCTCAGCGTGAGGAACCTTGCCCTCAGTGTGAGGTACACTGTCCTCAGTGTGAGGTACCTTGTCCTCAGCTCGACGAACCTTGTCCTCAGCGTGACGAACCTTGTCCTCAGCGTGAGGAACCTTGTCCTCAGTGTGACGTACCTTGTCCTCAGTGTGAGGTACCTTGTATTCAGCGTGAGGAACCTTGTCCTCAGCTTGAGGAACCTTGTCCTCAGCGTAAGGAACCTTGTCCCCTGCGTGACGTACCTTGTCCTCAGTGTGAGGTACCTTGTACTCTGCGTGAGGAACCTTGTCCTCAACTTTACGAACCTTGTCCTCAGCGTGTGGAACCTTGTCCTCAGTGTGAGGTACCTTGTCCTCAGTGTGACGTACCTTTTCCTCAACTTCAGGAACCTTGTCCTCAGCGTGAGGAACCTTGTCCTCGCCGTGGCTTACCTTATCCTCAGTGTGAGGTACCTTGTTTTCAGCGTGAGGTACCTTGTACTCAGCGTGAGGAGCCTTGCCTCAGTGTGAGGTACCTTGTCCTCAGCTTGAGGAACATTGTCCTCGGTGTGAGGTACCTTGTCCTCGACTTGAGGAAGCCTTTCCTCAGTGTGAGGTACCTTGTCCTCAGTGTGAGGTACCTTGTCCTCAGTGTGAGGTACCTTGTCCTCAGCGTGAGGAACCTTATCCTCAGCGTGAGGAACCTTGTCCTCGCCGTCATGAACCTTGTCCTCGCCGTCATGAACCTTGTCCTCAGCATGAGGAGCCTTGTCGTCAGTGTGAGGTACCTTGTCCTCAGTGTGAGGTACCTTTTCCTCAGCATGAGGAAGCTTGTCCCCAGCGTGAGGAACCTTGTCCTGAGCGTGAGGTACCTTGTTCTCAGTGTGAGGTACCTTGTCCTCAGATGGAGGAACCTTCTCCTCAGCGTGAGGCGCCTTTTCGTCTGCGTGAGGAACCTTGTCCTCTGCGTGAGGAACCTTCTCCTCAGCGTGAGGAACCTTGTCCTCGCCGTGAGGAACCTTGTCTTCAGCGTGAGGAACCTTGTCCTCCTGTGAGGTACCTTGTCCTCAGTGTGAGGTACCTTGTCCTCACCGTGACGTACCTTGTCTACAGTGTGACGTACACTTGTCCTCAGAATGAGAAACCTTGTCCTCTGCGTGAAGAACCTTGTCCTCAGCGTGAGGAAACTTGTCCTCGCCGTCAGGAACCTTGTCCTCAGTGTGAGGTACATTGTCCTCAGTGTGAGTTACCTTGTCCTCAGTGTGAGGTACCTTGTCCTCACCGTGAGGAACCTTGTCCTTACCGTGAGGAACCTTGTCCTCACGGTGAAAAACTTGTCCACAGTGTGAGGTACCTTCTCCTCTGTGTGAGGAACCTTGTCCTCTGCGTGAGAAAACTTGTCCTCTGCGTGAGGAACCTTGTCCTCCGCGTGAGCAACCTTGTCCTCACCGTCAGGAACCTTGTCCTCAGAGTGAGGAACCTTGTCCTCGGTGTGAGGTACCTTGTCCTCAGTGTGAGGAACTTTGTCCTCAGCTTGAGGACACTTGTCGTCAGCGTGAGGGATCTTGTCCTCAACGTGAGGAACTTTGTTCTCAGCGTGAAGGACCTTGTCCTCAGCGTGACGAACCTTGTCCTCAGAGTGAGGAACCTTGTCCTCAGTGTGAGGTACCTTGTCCTCAGTGTGAGGAACTTTGTCCTCATCTTGAGGTACCTTGTCCTCAGCGTGAGAAACCTTGTCCTCAGTGTGAGGTACCTTGTCCTAAGTGTGAGGTACCTTGTCCTCACCGTGAGGAACCTTGTCCTCGGAGTGAGGAACCTTGTACTCAGTTTGGGGTACTTTCTCCTCAGTGTGAGGTACTTTGTCCTTAGGCTCGATTTCCAGCCGGCTCCGGGGAAACACTCCCCGAATTGCCGGCTGGACGCATGAGATCGCTACCTTGTCTGTGACGTTATGAAAAAATTAATTATGCATCTCAAGGTCACCGGAACTGACTATTAATATGGCGCATGTGAAGAGTGTGCATTTCAATCAAGTTAATTCTGACAAACTTATAAAAAGCAATTTTGCAATTTGTCATTGCGTTCTTAATTCAAAAGCTAATTTGACAGGAATATTTATATGAATAACACGTATTTTCGCTGCTCTATCGCGTCGAAAAGTTTTTGGTTAGTACATAATTAGGATAGGATCTGTTACTGTTTTTTGCTTTACGACAATTTATATTTATGTTCAATCAAACAATATTACATTAAGTTATAGTGTTTTTGATAATTATATTTGTTGTTCACGTTTGTACTGTGGCAAACAAAATAATTCGAACCAAAACTTCTGAGGACAAATCTCCCAAACAAGTCCACATTTAACTTAGTATAAAGTCAACTTAGATTTACATGTATACTGCAGTTGTCACAAATATGAAATTGTCACCAATTACTTTGATGCTATGGTCTTGCGATATTTACAACTCAGACGAAATATGGCAGCGATAATACATGAAAGAAATGGCATGACTTTGTCTATCTATAAAAACTTTTAGCTATTTAATATCAGTATTACTAAGGAAATCAAGCAATTTTTAAAAAACGAGTTTCTAACAAATAATATTTGTTGACTTTTATCAGCGTGAATAAAGGCACTTGTTACAGTAATGTTTAATACTAAACTGTAAACACGGTTAATAGAACTATATCTATTATTAACCGTGATTAAAGGCACGGTTACGTCTAACTATATTTGGCGCTAAAATAACAAAATACATATATTTAAAACATTAGAGGATTATGTCATTGCGAAAATGTCATTGTACTTCTCTTGTATATTATAATGGATTGTGTTTCTAATAGCGGTTGTACGCCAAGAAAATATATTGGGACTGCTGGGTGTATCTTGTGTGGTTGCGAGAAAGCCGATACTCGGAAAAGAACTAAATTAAATGGGAGGGTATCTGATTTGCAACACTGAATTTGCAGCATTTTAAATGTTCCACTGACTACTATAAATTCGGACGGTTATATTTGTAATGATCGCTGCTATAGAGATCTTAATCGCCTGGAGAAGATGAAAGAAGATTTAAAGAAACTTCAGAATACCTTGAAGGAGAAGTTTGCAACAAATAATAGAGCAAAACGTGCTATCCCCACAGATGCAACAATTTCGCCAAGTGTCGTACCACCTTCAAAATCCTTACGCCATTTGACTGATCAAGCAAGGGGAAAGGCCCAAAAAAGACTATCATTTGAAGAAACACAACCAACATCAAACCCTGTACTCATTCAACCTGTTGTACCCATTCAATTACCTTTGCCTATGCCACCTGTTTCTCTTCAAGCTCAACCCTCAATTGAAAACGAGCTAGTCTTTGGACGTGCACAGTGTGGGAGAAACATTTGTCAAGTACAGGTAAATATGATCAAATTTAATCAATAAAATATTAAAATTTAATAAATGAAATTAGTTCATGAACGTTCACTTAATTCGGTACTTTAGGCAATTGTGACGTATGAATCAGGCAAGAAAATCGGAGTTTTGCCAAAAGATCTTCATAGGCTAGGAAAAGCTCTGGCAAGAGGAAGTGGTTACAAATCTATTGCGGACGCAGCTATGGAGAGTGCTGAACTTAAGAAAGCCATCGAGAACCGCATTTGTTCTGATGTGAACAAAGAATGTAAAAGACTGTGCTCTAAAAAATCGCCTTCACTCTTACGAACAACGACGAAGGACAGCATTTTAAACTTTTCTTGGCGTAGTGTTAAGCAAGAACTAAATGAAAACGCGCCAGTTTTTTATCGTTTACTCCAAGCATGCGTAGATCCAAAATCATGTTTGAAAACTGGACAAAGTGACCATGAAAAAGACAATGGCATATGTACCGCAGCCGCGATCCTGCTTAAGAATCGAGACAAATGCATGAGCTTGGTTCCTTATGTCATCAGTACCATTTTGGAGATTGGGAAAACTTCTAAAAGGGTAGGTTGCAATAGCTGAATATACCTAATAACCTAATTTAAAACAGTAAGAAGCAAGGTTTCCCTTTACAAGTAAAATGCGTGGGCCGAAAAAGTGCTTAGAAAACCAATTTCGTGGCAACCTCCTGGGGAATAGATTTTCTGTGGTTCAATGCACAGTACCATAGATGCTCAATTACCACAGAAAGTTCCCAAGCAAAAAACTTGCCAAACACCGAGAAAATGGGTGATCAGTGATTATCCTCTATTAAATTGTATTACAGCAAAAAATGTGAAATTTTGTTTTCAATTACAACAAAAATGACTAGCATCGTGGGAAAGCTTACAAAAAACTGCATATAAGACATTTAAACAGTTTATTTTATATCTCAAATTGTTTTCGAGCTATACGCTGTCAAAAACGCGTTTTTGACCTAGTACCCAGTATTTTTTTCGACATTGGCATATAGTTTTATTTTTATTATTATTAAGGTGTCAAACAATGAAACATTGCGTCTTATTCAACTTTCAACAACAACTCGCAATGCAAATGGATGATACGATTGCTTCTGAAACGATTTACATTGCAAGTTGTTGTTGAACGTTGTCCCGTGTGAAATCACGTTTAGCCATTACGACTTTTCACTGATCATTTGCTGTGTATCAAAGTCTAAACTAAATAAATTATTTAAAGAATATCTAATCATTTTCATTTAGAGTCAAAATTTGATTTATTAAATGTGTCAAATTAATTATTTTTTATTTACAACCAAATGAACCAACTGGATACGCATACAGTATTTACATAACTTTATAATGTGTAGTAAAATATAAGTAATTTTTTATTATTCATCATACAGTATAATAAATTATTAATACGTAAATATGTACTTCTACTTTTACAAATCATTTACTGTTTACACATGATAATAGTGGACATGCTCGATGTTTTCTGTTAATGCACTATTGAAAAAAAGGTTTATTTTCTTATTAGGCACTTATTAGACTAAACAAGCTTTGGATTACAATGTCTCCAAAAAGCATCAACAGGGTTCTTGACCAACTAGGTGAGGATTTTGATAAACCTCTAAAAGATTGGAAAGAAAACATCACCTGCCATCTTGAGAAATGTTGTCTAAATGCACAAGAAATCCAAAGGTTGGAGAAGAAGAAAGATGAGCTTTCGCAATTGGCAGCAGCAGGAAACAATGTTGGTGAGCAGACCACAGCAGTGTATGAATCTTTGTCAACCTTAAACAACGAAAAAGAAGAGTTGGATGAAAATCGGCCTAGTAGTTATAACATTGTGATCGATAATGTAGACCTAAGAGTTTTGGCTTCTGACATGACATCAGATAATCAAAATAGAGATCTTCATTGGTGTAACCACAATGCGTACCTAGACCGAGTAAACCCTACTCACTTACCAGATAATGCTCCAATAGCAGACCTTCAAGATGTGCCTAACAGCACCTTCTTACCCAGCTTAGGTGACCATAACTTATTACGGGCTGACTTCACAGTATTGATTGGTAGAGTTCTGGTGGAGAATTTGCCTGCGTTCAACATGTTCAAGGATGTCATACCTCAACACCTAAAACATGCGTACTCTGAGGAAATGAAGAAAAAAACTGAAACGGTAACATAATTATTTCATGAATTCAGAATTTATGTGCTTGAAAATAGAAATAGTGGACAAAGAATTATATTGATATGCAACCAGGACGGGACTGGAATTTGGTATAAGGACAAATCAGGACTAAATGGTGAAATGTACTGTAATTATCGTTTACTACTACAAGTATATGATAGTGAGTCAGATCATGCCCAAGGTCATTAAACCTATATTTTGTGGACATATAGATAGTACTGTATGTTTCAAATTAAAGCATGGAAAATTTTTCACCTGCAGAAAATTTGATATTTTTTCAATGTATACATTATGGGTTTCAGGTAAATCTTGGCATAATTTTCAAAGATGAAAATTTGGGTGAGGACATGATTAGTATCACAAGAGAACTGCATGGATTGGTGCCTGTTACAAATGATGATAACATGTTTGATCGCGTTCCTGTTGTTGGTGACCAGAAAACGATAGAGAGAGGAGTGGAATCATAGTTTTCTGTACGCAATGCCTATAGCAAAACACGAAGGTTGGAAGGCTTGTTCTTTCAACTCGCTGACTGGCATCATGAAAACAAGTTTCTGTCAGTAAGTGTTGCTTCCAAGATAATACATATGTATTTTATTTTAATTCTATTCTATAAATACTCTAATTACCTTTATTATTATATATTTTCAAATTAGTTTCCCCTTGTCCGTACTGTACGTACGTACAAACATACTGTAGTTCGCTGAAGGAAAGACTGACTTTTATGAGTTGTAATGGATGTGCACTGTGACTACACTTTTCTTTTTCTAGTTAATTTTCTCCAGATACTACAGTGGTTCTTCAGCAACTGACAAGACATCCCTTTTCGCTTTGAGAAACCTTGTGAATTGGCGTGATGTGGTCACTGATGCCGAGCACAAACCAGCTCCATGTAAAAGGTTTGTAAATTTGGTTCTTGATGCAGATATCATTGCTGCAGCCCTTGAATTCTTTGGTATGGAAACAACAGATGATGAACCAACAAAGCACATAATCAGTGAAGTGTTGAAAACAAGCATCAAAGCTGTCCGCCAACGGTATTTTTATAGAGTCATTAAAGAATTCATTGAAACCTATATCGTGAATGGAAAACTCTATGAAAATCACTTTTTTAACATTCAAGCACTTCAAGAATGGGAAACCGCACAAGCTAACCAGCCTATACTTGCAGATGGCAGGTACCCTTGTAGGTTTCCAGGGTGTTCAAGTTCATACAAGTATGATGGAGTTAACAGGAGAAGGCATGAAATGTCGCATGACCCTCCACCTACCATCCCAGAGATTCCAGCCATGATCAATATTGAACCAGATACAATGGATACCACATTCGAAGAATCAGAAGATGATATTTTCAACTATCATTGCGGATTCATGAACATGGCGCTGTTGTTACGAAACTTCATGGATGCTATAAAAGAAGGTGATGGAGAAAGAATAATTAGATGCATCAAAATGTTTCTTTTACATTTTAAGCAAGATGGGAGTGGCAGCACCAAGTATTCCTTAGAAGCTTTGTATCAAATGTTTCAATTGTATGCGTTACTCAGCCCAAGAGAAGCACACAGGTTGAAATGGAACAGAACGGTGAACAATCATGGCCGTGCAGGTTGTAATGTAGCTATGGATTTAGCCTTGGAGCATGACAATCATTTAGTTAAAGACATGATAAGAGGTTTAGGAGCTAATATAAACGATAAAAGTGTTCGTAGAATTTGCAGAGCGTTCTTCATCATTAAGTCATTTTTGGAACATCTAGACCAAGAGATGCAAGTCAAAAAGATCTCGGGAGAGCATTGCAAAAAATCAGTAAAGCAGGACTTGAAGAAAGTTGTAAAAACCCTTCAAGAACAGAATGTATTCAAGAAACAGTTAACTGGGGGGAAATGTTTGCCTTTCCTGACTGCCCAAGAGACTACCTACAATTGCTAAACACAAAAGGCCTATTCTCGTGGATCAACGAGCATAAGAAAAATGTAAAACTTGGCAAAAGGCCCCGATAAATTTACATAAGTGTTATAGGGATGCCGATCTACTGTACGACTAGTATCCAGCAAAATAGACATTCGGCACTTATTTAAATTTAAAATTTTAAAATACAGTTCTGAACTTCTAATGGAATCTAGGTCATGAAAATGTACTGGCGTTGTCTTTTTCATGTTAAATTGTACAAATTGTTAAACATGCCAAACATTCACATTGATTGGGCAAACACCACAAATATTTTAAAACATTAAATGTACAGGTATGTTGTGATCTCTTCTTACTTTTCCTATAGACCCTTATTATAAATATGGTGTGAGCAAGAATAAAGTTTTGAAAATATTGGCAATCGTGGTATTTTTCTAGTTAAAACTTGAAGATATTCTGGGATCACCGATAAAATATCGAAACGGCTACGAAATGTCAACTCAATGTTTGGTGAAATCCGGATTTGACGTAACAAAATAAGTTGTTCTTGCTCACACCATACTGTATTTATAAGAAAGTTCTATTAATTAGCAAACAATACTAACCTTCTAACTAGGACCTTTGCTCAAAACGTCTGTCTGATATTTTTCTCAAATAAGCTCTTATCAATTTGTTGTATTTGTAACATGTTATTATCCAATAAAGTAGTTACGTACTACTCAGTGTCATACCCTTCTTCAGCATTTTCAATAAGGCTATCCTCTGCAATAGTAAATAGTTCTTCTTCAACGCTGGCCAGCAATGAGTCTTGTTCATCAAAATCAAATATATTATCAAAAGAGAACTCTTCTATATTGTCAAGTTCTGTTTCTTCTTCAGATTCAGCTACATCAATATCTTCAAAGACGTTTGAAAATGCAAACAAAACGTCATTTGCCACACTTGTATGCCAGATATTAACAAACTTAAAAATAGAAGCAACAGAAAAAATTTTCTCACAATGTTGCAATATTTGTTCTATTTCAGGATCTCCAAATGCACCAGCTAACTTTGTAGGTGTAAACATAGGTACATTTGCAATCTTAGCTTTTTTAAAAATTGTTCTTTTAAAACCATCTTTAAATATGTCAACTTTTGGGCAAGTGCTGTTCTTTGAGCATCTGTAACTTTTCTTGAGCACAAAGACTCCATTGCAGCTTCTTGATTGCTAATAGACATTGATGTAAAGTATACAAAATCACAATATGTCCCACAGCATTTGCAGTTTTTTTTGCAAAAATCACAACAATGGTGAGGGTATTGTGTCACAGGCAGGTTATTCAAGTCAACATCAAAGCTTTCTAACAGCATCTTTCTTCTGCACTTTGATGATTCACGTACATAACTCTTAATTTCATCGGAACAATGCATCATCATTAAGCTTGAATACAGGATGACAGACTTGCACATTTGCATATTTGATCTTCCAGCTCTTCCACTCTCTTGCATGTATGTCTCCAAGTTGTAAGAAGGACCATAGTGAATGACAGTTGTCACATTCTTACAATCAATTCCCATGCCATAAGCAATGGTTGCAATTAAAACTCGAACTGAACCATCCGGTTTGCCCATGGACTCTAATATATGATCTCTATTCAGTTCATCTATCCTGCTATGAAACATTTCAACAGTTCTCTTTTTGGGATCCATGGAGTCATCAACATACATGTCATCACCTACTTCTGATGCGAAAAAGGAATATAAGTAAGTGGTGACTTTGATAGTTTGGCAGTATATAATTGCCCTTTCAGTACATCCTTTCTTTTCTTTCAATTGTTGAACCATTGTTTGAAACGTTTTTGCAAGATCATGGTTAATCACTTGGGCAGCATAACTTATGTTATGCCTGTTTGGGCTCTCAAGTATTAACGCTGGGTTCTTTATTTCCAGAGCTCGCATACTTTTCAGCCTGGTTACAGTCGTGGCTGTTGCTGTAAGAGCGATCACTGGCACTCGTCCAACAATTGAGCGAATCTCATTTATTCGGCTAAACCATTTTCGAAAAGCCATCTCTCCTTTCTTTGATGCATAACCCCTGAACATTATAAAACAAACAGAAACTAACATAAATAAATTGGCATTAACCCTTCATCATTTTTTCATCATTTTTATCTGAAGTATTCATGCCTATTTATATGAGGATAGTATGTTCTTGGTGGTGTAACTTTACTTTTTTGACCACTTGCCCTCAGAGCAAGTTGGAGTGTTGGACATGAAAACTAGTTGCCCTGAATAAAATTCACCTGCCATCAGACAATGTCTGCTGCATGGGGTACCTAGATAGGGGGTATAAATTAAGGGGACAACATGTCGACCCGTTCTCCCACTGCTCTAAAAGGCTACCGTAAACCTCCGACTATAAGCCCTGGGCTTATATACTTTTGTAAGCGATTTTTGATGGGCTTATACAAGGGGAGGGGGCTTATATACGGGTGGGCTTATACATGGACAATCTTTTGTGTTAGTAATAAACAAGTCATAAACAGGGAAATAAACATGTATTAAGCAGCGATTACTGGGCTTATATTAATTGGGGGACTTATATTTGGGGGGCTTATATTCGGGTGGGCTTATATTCGGGAGGGGGGCGGGCTTATATTTGGAATGATGTGAGCGTTAGTACAAGTGGTGGGCTTATACACAGGGGGCTTATATTCGGGGGGGGGCTTATAGTCGGAGGTTTACGGTATGTTATACTGCATTAGATATAACTTTGGCCCACAAAAAACAACATTTTAATGAAGTACATGCATTATGAAAAAAATTATCCGATAATGAAAATATAAACTTAAAGATGCCGAACATTTTGTGGCAAGGCAACTTGCCCAATCGGGCAATCAAGATAAAACGTTTACTTGCCCGTCATGATAATCACCTGCCCCGGGCAATTGTTACATTACAACTCTGGTTCTGCCTTATGGGTTACCATTAAGTCTGGTACTATAGATTGATTACATTTAAAATCTCAACACCTCATTGTGGCATCACAGAAAAGAAAGTTTATTTTATTGTGAGCACCAGCTCAGTGGTGTAACTTTACTTTTTTTCCCACACATAAAAATTAGATGCCCTGAATAAAATTCACTTGCCATCAAACAATGGCGGGTATAAAAGACATGTCGACCCATTCTCCCATAGCTCTATATGGCTATGTTATACTGTCTCAGATCTAGCTTTGGCCAACAAAAAAACAAAATTTGAATCAAGTACACGCATTATAAAAAACATAAACTTAAAGATGCCCAGCTTTTGTGGCAAGGCAACTTGCCCAATCGGGCAAGCACGATAAAACATTTACTTGCCCGTCATTATATTCACTTGCCCCGGGCAAATGTTAAGTTACACCTCTGCAGCTTGCATGGTGGGCGACATTGTATGATGTGTGCAGAGGGATTGCAAAATTAGAAAGATAGATTGCAAAAAAAGACAGTGAAATAAAAAAGTCCATAATGAAAGATTTCATCTATACTTAAAAAACTCATTAATAATTCAGGAGGAAAACACAAAGAAAAATCATAAGCGTGTCGTATCTTTATATGTGATAAAAAATCATGTTAATTTACATAAACGTTAGCTTTGATTTTCTCGGTTTAGACAAAGTTTATTTTAAAACATTAAAGACCATGTAAAATCTGTTCTGCGCATACTTTCTGCGCAAGCCTACATTCCAATGGTCCAGACTCGACCATTGGAATGTTATTAATACTTTGCACCTACTGAACGTTCCTGAATTGAATCTCTATTCTGTATTCATTTACAAGCATAGTGAAGCAGAAGAGTGTTAAAAATTCAGTATAATATATATCTAATCATATTTTACAACTGTAGTGCTGAGTTCAAAATGTAAACAAAGCATTTGTTTACCTTACAGACTTTAAATTTCCACTACCTTCAAATAAACACATACATAAATACAATCTTAGCAATCTAAATTAATTTCTGTTATCACAGCCTATTCAGTAACAATATGGCATATTACTGAAGAGGCCGATAACATGGTATGGGATAACACCAAAATTAATTGTTTGTTTTTATTTGAACCTAGTAGAATTTTAATGTTTTAACTTTAGGTCATTACTCGTTAGTTTTTTAATTGTGTATAATAAAACTGTGTTGAAAGAGTAATACAGACATTGATGTCATTGAAAAGCACAATTTTTTTCTTTTATCCACCAAATATTTATGCGGCAACATGCCAACTTTCCACCAACAAAGTAGGGTGCACCAAGGTACAAATGTTTATTACAGTTCAGCATATTTTCTGGCAGACAGCAGTCAACACTGTTTACATTTTTGTAGCACGCAATGGTTCTTGAAAGCACATAGTTATTTTAATACAATATAAACAGTATAAAATATAAATGTTGCCTGCCAGCAAAATGTAAACAATATTTCATGTACAAACATTCTCCTAAAACTTCTCAATCATATAAAACATTAAAACATATGAGGAAAACCACACAGATTTTAAAAAAGGGAAATCTGCTTACCAGTGAGATATAAAATGAGCTTCGTCAACCGCTACCAGACGCAATCTTTCTTTATAAACATTATTGCTTATCATAGCACGCCATCTTTTAGTTGATAAAAATGCCTCAGGTGAGCCATACACAATTTGACATTCACCACGTTCAACAACTTCATTTGCATCTTCGCTCATTTGATCATCCCCAATAAACTCAGCACTAATCCCGACAGACTTCAGGTAGCGTACTTGATCTTGCATAAGCGATGTCAGAGGAGATACTACAAGTGCTATTGACCTCCCACTTGGCACTTGACAATGGATATATTGTGTCAAAGACGACGGGAGCGGACTGATATATAAGTGATTTTCCCGATCCTGTAGGCTGTATAACGAATACATCTTGCCCCCCTAGCAACATTTCCAAAGCTTCTACCTGAGATTCTTTCAAAGATTCAATCTTGAAGGTTTTTAAAACCCTATTAAACGCTGTCGCTTTTCTTTCTTTCTGGTCCGCCATTTTGAATTAGCTTTTTGCATGATAATTTATACAAATTTATTGCCACACGAAATTCTGCAGACGAGTATCTGATTGGCTCAATTTAACAATAGCGATCTCATGCGTCCAGCCGGCAATTCGGCGAGTGATTCCCCGGAGCCGGCTGAAAATCGAGCCTACTTTGTCCTCAGCTTGAGGAAGCTTGTCCTCAGCGTGAGGGACCTTGTCCTCAGCGTGAGAAACTTTATCCTCAGCGTGAGGACCTTGTCCTCAGAGTGAGGACCTTGTCCTCAGAGTGAGGAAAAGGGTCCTCAGTGTGAGGTACTTTGTCCTCAGTGTGAGGAACATTGTCCTCACCTTGAGGAACCTTGTCCTCAGCGTGAGCAACCTTGTCCTCAGTGTGAGGTACCTTGTCTTCAGTGTGAGATACCTTGTCTTCAGCGTGAGGAATCTAGTCTTCAGTGTGACGTACCATGTCCTCAGCGTGAGGAACCTCGTCCTCTGCATAAGGAACCATGTCCTCAGCGTGAGCAGCTTTGTCCTCAGCGTGAGGAACCTTGTCCTCAGCGTGACGAACCTTGCCTCAGTGTGAGGTACCTTGTTCTCAGTCTGAGGTACCTCGTTCTCAGCCTGAGGATCCTTGTCCTCAGTGTGAAGTACCTTGTCCTCAGCTTCAGGAACCTTGTCCTCAGCTTGAGGAACCTTGTCCTCAGCGAGAGGTACCTTGCCCTCAGCGTGAGGAAACTTGTCCTCAGCGTGAGGAACCTTGTCCTCAGCGTGACATACCTTGTCCTCAGCGTGAGGTACCTTCTACTCAGCGCTTGGAACCTTGTCCTCAGTGTGAGGTACCTTGTCCTCAGCTTGAGGAACCCTGTCCTCAGCGTGAGGAACCTTGTCCTCAGTGTGAAATACCTTACCCTCAGTGTGAGGTACCTTGTCCTCATCGTGAGGAACCTTGTCCTCAGCTTGAGGAACATTGTTCTCAGCGTCAGGACCTTGTCCTCAGCGTGAGGAACCTTGTCCTCAGTGTGAGGTACCTTGTCCTCAACTTGAGGAACATTGTCCTCAGTGTGAGGTATCTTGTCGTCTGCGTGAAGAACGTTGTCCTCAGCTTGAGGAACCTTGTCCTCAGTGTAAGCTACCTTGTCATCAGCGTGAGGAACCTTGTCCTCAGTGTGAGGTACCCTGTCCTCAGTGTGAGGTACCTTGTCCTCAGCTCGAGGAACCTTGTCCTCAGCGTGAGGAACCTTGTCCTCAGTTTCACGTCCCTTGTCCTCAGTGTGAGGTACCTTGTGCTCAGCGTAAGGAACCTTGTGCTCAGCTTGAGGAACCTAGTCCTCAGCGTGAGGACCTTGCCCTCAGCGTCGGGAACCTTGTGCTCAGCGTGACGAACCTTGTCCTCAGCGTAACGAACCTTGAGCTCAGTGGGAGGTACCTTGTTCTCAGTGTGAGGTACCTTGTTCTCAGCTTGAGGATCCTTGTCCTCAGTGAAGTACCTTGTCCTCAGCTTGAGGAACCTTGTCCTCAGCTTGAGGAACCTTGTCCTCAGTGAGAGATACCTTGTCCTCAGCGTGAGGAAACTTGTCCTCAGCGTGAGGAACCTTGTCCTCAGCGTGAGATACCTTGTCCTCAGCGTGAGGTACCTTGTACTCAGCTTGAGGAACCCTGTCCTCAGCGTGAGGAACCTTGTCCTCAGCGTGAGGAACCTTGTCCTCAGCGTGAGGAACCTTGTCCTCGCCGTCATGAACCTTGTCCTCAGCATGAGGAACCTTGTCCTCAGTGTGAGGTACCTTGTCCTCAGTGAGAGCTACCTTTTCCTCTGCTTCAGGATGCTTGTCCCCAGCGTCAGGAACCTTGTTCTCAGCGTGAGGATCCTTCTCCTCAGCGTGAGGAACCTTGTCCTCAGTGTGAGGTACCTTGTCCTCGACTTGAGGAAGCATTTTCTCAGTGTGAAGTACCTTGTCCTCACTGTGAGGTGCATTGTCCTCAGCGTGACGAACCTTGTCCTCAGCATGAGGAACCTTGTCCTCAGTGTGAGGTACCTTGATCTCAGCGTGAGGAACCTTGTCCTCACTGTGAGGTACCCTGTCCTCAGTGTGAGGTACCTTGTTCTCAGCTCGAGGAACCTTTTCCTCAGCGTGAAGAACCTTGTCCTCAGTGTGACGTACCTTGTCCTCAGTGTGAGGTACCTTGTCCACAGCTCGAGGAACCTTGTCCTCAGTGTCACGTCCCTTGTCCTCAGTGTGAGGTACCTTGTGCTCAGCGTGACGAACCTTGTCCTCAGCGTAACGAACCTTGAGCTCAGTGGGAGGTACCTTGTTCTCAGTGTGAGGTACCTTGTTCTCAGCTTGAGGATCCTTGTTTTCAGTGTGAAGTACCTTGTCCTCAGCTTGAGGAACATTGTCCTCAGTGTGAGGTACCTTGTCCTCGACTTGAGGAATCTTTTCCTCAGTGTGAGGTACCTTGTCCTCAGTGAGAGTTGCCTTGTCCTCAGCTTGAGGAACCTTGTCCTCAGTGTGAGGTAGCTTGTCCTCAGCGTGAGGAACCTTGTCCTCAGTGTGAGGTACCTTTTTCTCAGCTTGAGGAACCTTGTCCTCAGTGTGAGGTACCTTGATCTCAGCGTGAGGAACCTTGTCCTCAGCGTGAGCAGCCTTGTCCTCAGCGTGAGGAACCTTGTCCTCAGAATGAGGAACCTTGTCCTCAGTGTGAGGTACCTTGTCCTCAGTGCGACGTACCTTCTCCTCAGCTTGAGAAACCTTGTCCTCTGTGTGAGATACCTTGCCCTCAGCTTGAGGAACCTTGTCCTCAGCATGAGGAACCTTGTCCTCAGTGTGAGGTGCCTTGTCCTCAGCTCGAGGAACCTTGTCCTCAGCGTGAGGAACCTTGTCCTCAGTGTCACGTCCCTTGTCCTCAGGGTGAGGTATCTTGTGCTCAGCGTGACGAACCTTGTCCTCAGCGTAACGAACCTTGAGCTCAGTGGGAGGTACCTTGTTCTCAGTGTGAGGTACCTTGTTCTCAGTTTGAGGATCCTTGTCCTCAGTGTGAAGTACCTTGTCCTCAGCTTGAGGAACCTTGTCCTCAGTGAGAGATACCTTGTCCTCAGCGTGAGGAAACTTGTCCTCAGCGTGAGGAACCTTGTCCTCGGCGTGAGATACCTTGTCCTCAGCGTGAGGTACCTTGTACTCAGCTTGAGGAACCCTGTCCTCAGCGTGAGAAACCTTGTCCTCAGCGTCAGGAACATTGTCCTCAGCGTGAGGAACCTTGTCCTCGCCGTCATGAACCTTGTCCTCAGCATGAGGAACCTTGTCCTCAGTGTGAGGTACCTTGTCCTCAGTGAGAGCTACCTTTTCCTCTGCTTCAGGTTGCTTGTCCCCAGCGTCAGGAACCTTGTCCTCAGCGTGAGGATCCTTCTCCTCAGCGTGAGGAACCTTGTCCTCAGTGTGAGGTACCTTGTGCTCGACTTGAGGAAGCTTTTCCTCAGTGTGAAGTACCTTGTCCTCACTGTGAGGTGCATTGTCCTCAGCGTGACGAACCTTGTCCTCAGCATGAGGAACCTTGTCCTCAGTGTGAGGTACCTTGATCTCAGCGTGAGGAACCTCTTCCTCAGCGTGAGCAGCCTTGTCCTCAGCGTGAGGAACCCTGTCCTCAGAGTGAGGAACCTTGTCCTCAGTGTGAGGTACCTTGTCCTCAGTGCGACGTACCTTCTCCTCAGCTTGAGAAACCTTGTCCTCAGTGTGAGATACCTTGTCCTCAGCTTGAGGAAACTTGTCCTCAGCTTGAGGAACCTTGTCCTCAGTGTGAGGTGCCTTGACCTCAGTGTGAGGTACCTTGTCCTCAGCGTGAGGAACCTTGTCCTCACTGTGCCGTACCTTGTCCTCAGTGTGAGTTACCTTGTCTTCAGCGTGAGGTACCTTGTCCTCAGCTTGAGGAACATTGTCCTCAGTGTGAGGTACCTTATCCTCGACTTGAGGAATCTTTTCCTCAGTGTGAGGTACCTTGTCCTCAGTGAGAGTTGCCTTGTCCTCAGCTTGAGGAACCTTGTCCTCAGTGTGAGGTAGCTTGTCCTCAGCGTGAGGAACCTTGTCCTCAGTGTGAGGTACCTTTTTCTCAGCTTGAGGAACCTTGTTCTCAGTGTGAGGTACCTTGTCCTCAGCGTGAGGAACCTTGTCCTCACTGTGAGGTACCCTGTCCTCAGTGTGAGGTACCTTGTTCTCAGCTCGAGGAACCTTGTCCTCAGCGTGAAGAACCTTGTCCTCAGTGTGAGGTACCTTGTCGTCAGTGTGAGGTACCTTGTGCTCAGCGTGAGGAACCTTGTCTTCAGCTTGAGGAACCTTGTCGTCAGCGTGAGGACCTTGTCCTCAGTGTCAGGAACGTTGTCCTCAGCGTGACGAACCTTGTCCTGGGCATGAGGAACCTTGTGCTCAGTGGGAGGTACCTTGTCCTCAATGTGAGGTACCTTGTCCACAGGTTGAGGAAGCTTGTCCTCAGCGCGAGCAACCTTGTCCTCAGCGTGAGGAGCTTTGTCCTCAGTGTGAGATACCTTGTCCTCAGCGTCAGGAACCATGTCCTTAGTGTGAAATACCTTCCCTCAGTGTGAGTTACCTTGTCCTCATCGCGAGGAACCTTGTCCTCAGCTTGAGGAACCTTGTTCTCAGGGTCAGGACCTTGTCGGCAGCGTGAGGAACCTTGTTCTCTGCGTGAGGACCTTGTCCTCAGCGTGAGGAAGCTTGTTCCCAGCGGAAGCAATCTTGTCCTCAGCGTTGAGGAGCGTCGTGCTCAGTGTGAGGTACCTTGTCCGCAGTGTGAGGTACCTTCTCCTCAGCTTGAGGAACCTTGTCCTCAGCGTCAGGAACCTTGTCCTCATTGTGAAATACCTTGCCCTCAGTGTGAGTTACCTTGTCCTCATCGTGGGGAACCTTGTCCTCAGCTTGAGGAACCTTCTTCTCAGCGTCAGGACCTTGTCCGCAGCGTGAGGAAGCTTGTTCTCAGCGGGAGCAACATTGTCCTCAGTGTGAGGTTCCTTGTCCTCGACTTGAGGAAGCTTTTCCTCAGTGTGAGGTACCTTTTCCTCAGTGTGAGGTGCGTTGTCCTCAGCTTGAGGAACCCTGTCCTCAATGTGAGGTACCTTGTCCTCAGCGTGAGGAACCTTGTCCTCAGCGTGAGGAACCTTGTCCTCAGTGTGAGGAACCTTGTCCTCGCCATCATGAACCTTGTCCTCTGCATGAGGAAAAGTGTCCTCAGTGTGAGGTACCTTGTCCTCAGTGTGAGGAACCTTGTCGTCAGCGTGAGAAGCCATGTCCTCTGCGTGAGGAACATTGTCCTCAGTGTGAGGTACCTTGTCCGCAGTGTGAGGTACCTTCTCCTCAGCTTGAGGAACCTTGTCCTTATCGCCAGGAACCTTGTCCTCAGTGTGAAATACCTTGCCCTCAGTGTGAGTTACCTTGTCCTCATCGTGAAGAACCAGGTCCTCAGCTTGATGAACCTTGTTCTCAGCGTCAGGACCTTGTCCGCAGCGTGAGGAAGCTTGTCCTCAGCGGGAGCAACATTGTCCTCAGTGTGAGGTTCCTTGTCCTCGACTTGAGGAAGCTTTTCCTCATTGTGAGGTACCTTTTCCTCAGTGTGAGGTGCGTTGTCCTCAGCTTGAAAATCCTTGTCCTCAATGTGAGGTACCTTGTCCTCAGCGTGAGGACTTTGTCCTCATTGTGAGGAACCTTGTCCTCGCCATCATGAACCTTGTCCTCTGCATGAGGGACCGTGTCCTCAGTGTGAGGTACCTTGTCCTCAGTGTCAGGAACCTTGTCGTCAGCGTGAGAAGCCATGTCCTCAGCGTGAGGAACCTTGTCCTCAGTGTGAGGTACATTGTCCTCAGCGTGAGGAACCTTGTCCTCAGCGTCAGGAACCTTGTCCTCAGCATGAGGAACCTTGTCTTCAGCGTGAGAAACCTTGTCCTCAGTGCGAGGTACCTTGTCCTCAGCTTGAGGAACCTTGTCCTCAGTGTAAGGTACCTTGTCCTCAGCGTCAGGATCCTTGTACTCAGCGCCAGGAGCCTTGTCCTCAGCGTGAGGAACCTTGTCCTCGCCGTCATGAACCTTGTCCTCAGCATGAGGAACCTTGTCCTCAGTGTGAGGGACCTTGTCCTCAGTGAGAGCTACCTTTTCCTCTGCTTGAGGATGCTTGTCCCCAGCGTCAGGAACCTTTTCCTACGCGTGAGGTACCTTGTTCTCAGTGTGAGGTACCTTGTCCTCAGCGTGAGGATCCTTGTCCTAAGCGTGAGGATCCTTCTCCTCAGCGAGAAGAACCTTGTCCTCAGTGTGAGGAACCTTGTCCTCGACTTGAGGAAGCTTTTCCTCAGTGTGAAGTACTTTGTCCTCAGTGTGAGGTGCCTTGTCCTGAGCGTGACGAACCTTGCCCTCAGCGTGAGGAACCTTGTCTTCAGTGTGAGGTACCTTGATCTCAGCGTGAGGAACTTTGTCCTCAGCGTGAGCAGCCTTGTCCTCAGCGTGAGGAACCTTGTCCTCAGAGCGAGGAACCTTGTCCTCAGTGTGAGGTACCTTGTCCTCAGTGCGACGTACCTTGTCCTCAGCTTGAGGAACCTTGTCCTCAGTGTGAGATACCTTGTCCTCAGCTTGAGGAACCTTGTCCTCAGCATGAGGAACCTTGTCCTCAGTGTGAGGTGCCGTGACCGCAGTGTGAGGTACCTTGTCCTCAGCGTGAGGAACCTTGTCCTCGCTGAGGCGTACCTTGTCCTCAGTGTGAGGTACCTTGTCTTCAGGGTGAGGTACCTTGTACTCAGCGTGAGGACCCTTGTCCTCAGTGTGAGGTACCTTGTCCTCAGCTTGAGGAACATTGTCCTCAGCGTGAGGTACCTTGTCCTCGACTTGAGGAATCTTTTCCTCAGTGTGAGGTACCTTGTCCTCAGTGTGAGTTGCCTTGCCCTCAGCTTGAGGAACCTTGTCCTCAGTGTGAGGTAGCTTGTCCTCAGCGTGAGGAACCTTGTCCTCGCCGTCATGAACCTTGTCCTCAGCATGAGGAACCTTGTCCTCAGTGTGAGGTACCTTGTCCTTAGTGTGAGGTACCTTTTCCTCAGCTTGACGAAGCATGTACCCAGCGTGAGGAACCTTGTCCACAGTGTGACGTACCTTGGCCTCATTGTGAGGTACCTTGTCCTCAGAGTGAGGAACCTTGTCCTCTGCGTGAGGAACCTTGTCCTCAGCGTTAGGAAAATAGTCCTCGGCGTCAGGCACCTTGTCCTCAGTGTGAGGTACCTTGTCATCCGTGTGAGTTACCTTGTCCTCAGTGTGAGGTACCTTGTCCTCACCGTGAGGAACCTTTTCCACAGTGTGAGGTACCTTGCCCTCAGAGTGAGGAACCTTGTTCTCTGCGTGAGGAAACTTGTCCTCTAAGTGAGAACCTTATCCTCCGCGTGAGCACCTTGTCCTCACCGTCAGGAACCTTGTCCTTACAGTGAGGAACCTTGTCCTCAGTGTGAGGTACCTTCTCCTAAGTGTGAGGTACCTTGTCCTCAGCGTGAGGAACTTTGTCCTCAGCGTGAGGAACCTTGCCCGCAGTGTGAGGTACCTTGTCCTCAGCTGGAGGGACATTGTCCTCAGTGTGAGGTACATTGTCGTCTGCGTGAAGAACGTTGTCCTCTCCTTGAGGAACATTGTCCTCAGTGTGAGCAGCTTTGTCCTCAGCGTGAGGAACCTTGTCCTCAGCGTGAGAAACCTTGTCCTCGGTGTGAGGTACCTTGTCCTCAGTATGAGGTACCTTGTCCTCAGCTCGAAGAACCTTGTCCTCAGCGTCAGGAACCTTGTCCTCAGTGTGAAATACCTTGCCCTCAGTGTGAGGTACCTTGCCATCATCGTGAGGAACCTTGTCCTCAGTTTGAGGAACCTTGTTCTCAGCTTGAGGAACCTTGTTGTCAACGTGAGAAGCCTTGTCCTCAGCGTGAGTAACGTTGTCCTCAGTGTGAGGTACCTTGTCCTCCGCGTAAGGATCCTTGTCCTCAGCTTCAGGAACCTTGTTTTCAGCGTGAGGAACCTTGTCCTCAGCGTGAGGATCCTTGTCCTCAGTGTGAGGTACCTTGTCCTTAGCGTGAGGAACCTTGTCCTCAGCGTCAGGAACCTTGTCCTCAGCGTGAGGAACCTTGTCCTCAGTGTGAATTACCTTGTCCTCAGTGTGAGGTACCTTGTCCTCAGTGTGAGGAATCTACTCTTCAGTGTGACGTACCTTCTCCTCAGCGTGAGGAATCTAGTCTTCAGTGTGACGTACCTTGTCTTCAGCGTGAGGAACTTTGTCCTCTGCATGAGGAACCTTGTCCTCAGCGTGAGCAGCTTTGTCCTCAGCGTGAGGAACCTTGTCCTCAGCGTGAGGAACCTTGTCCTCAGTGTGAGATACCTTGTCCTCAGTGTAAAGTACCTTGTCCTCAGCCTGAGGAACCTTGTCCTCAGTGTGAGGTTCCTTTTCCTCAGGGAGAGGCACCTTGTCGTCAGCTCGAGGAAACTTGTCCTCAGTGAGAAGTACCTTGTCCTCAGCGTGAGGAAACTTGTCCTCAGCGTGAGAAGCCTTGTCCTCAGCTGAGTAACGTTGTCCTCAGTGTGAGGTACCTTGTCCTCAGCGTAAGGATCCTTGTCCTCAGCTTCAGGAACCTTGTTTTCAGCGTGAGGAACCTTGTCCTCAGCGTGAGGATCCTTGTCCTCAGTGTGAGGTACCTTGTCCTCAGCGTGAGGAACCTTGTCCTCAGCGTCAGGAACCTTGTCCTGAACGTGAGGAACCTTGTCCTCAGTGTGAATTACCTTGTCCTCAGATTGAGGTACCTGGTCCTCAGTGTGAGGAATGTAGTCTTCAGTGTGACGTACCTTCTCCTCAGCGTGAGGAATCTAGTCTTCAGTGTGACGTACCTTGTCTTCAGCGTGAGGAACTTTGTCCTCTGCATGAGGAACCTTGTCCTCAGCGTGAGCAGCTTTGTCCTCAGCGTGAGGAACCTTGTCCTCAGCGTGACGAACATTGTCCTCAGTCTGAGATACCTTGTCTTCAGTGTCAGGTACCTTGTTCTCAGCTTGAGGATTCTTGTCCTCAGTGTGAAGTACCTTGTCCTCAGCCTGAGGAACCTTGTCCTCAGCATGAGGAACCTTGTCCTCAGTGTGAGGTTCCTTTTCCTCATGGATAGACACCTTGTCGTCAGCTCGAGGAACCTTTTCCTCAGTGAGAGGTACCTTGTCTTCAGCGTGAGGAAACTTGTCCTCAGCGTGAGGAACCTTGTCCTCAGCGTGAGATACCTTGTCCTCAGCGTGAGGTA